GGGGTTCTCAAGCAAGGGTATGCAGAGGTCTTCCAGGGGATACATCAACTCATCTAGATATTTGCCTAGTTTTACAACAGGCTACATATAAAGCACTAGCGAAGTCAGTACAAACTAAAATTTCATAGAGACAGTGACGTGTTTCTGCTGCTCTATATATTGTACACTGAAATGTAAGTACAATATTTATTTACAGTTGATTTATTTTATAAATATATGGTAAAAATGAGTAAGTAAGCAATTTTTCAATAATAGAGTGCTGTGGCACTTTTGTATATTTATGTCTGATTTCGTAAGCAAGTAATTTTTAAGTGAGGTGAAACTCGGGGTTCGCAAGACAAATCAGACTCCCGACAGGGGTACAGTAGTCTGGAAAGGTTGAGAGCCACGGCGCTAAGCTATTCATAGATTTACAGATTCCAAGGCCAAAAGGGACCATTGTGATCATCTAAGCTGACCTATATAGCACAGATCAGAGAACTCCTCAAAAATAATTTCTGGAGAAGATTAAAAAAAAAAATCCAATCTTGATTTTAAAATGGTCAGTGATGGAGACCCACCATGACCCTTGGTAAATTGTTCCAATGGTTAATTACTCTCGACATTAAAAATGTTTGCATTATTTCCAGTCTGAATTTGTCTAGCTTCTACTGCCAGACACTGGATTGCCTTTCTCTGCCACAGTGAAAGTAAACTGGATTCACACGCATGTAGTTACATATAAAGTGGGATGGCATTTTTTTCAGAAATACTCCACAGCAGTAGTTGTCTTCTGAAGAGGGTAACATTGCTGTATAATAACAGGGCTATCTGCTATTATTAATTTGTTTAAGGTAGTGCTCACTATGTTCAAGGAATTTTCCAGACTCTCCAGAAGGCCTGGTCTCGGTCCCAAGCACTTCACAATCTAAGGATACAGTCTATACAGTCAAGATTGAGTACAAATCAGTTTGGTGTATTTGTAGGTGTGTGGGTCTCCAAGAAGTGCAAAGTTACCTAAAAGGGGAACTGCCACAGGGAAAAAAGAAAGGTGATCAGATTAAATATACAGAGCATTTTTAGGTCAAACAACAAAGTTGGACAAAATTATCCAAAAATATAAGTTAGAAGATAAATGCTGTTTGTTCCACTGACTTCAGTATGGACTATTTTTGCAACTGAAGTGGGAAGGATTTTTCCTAGGCCTGTATCTGTCCAGAGCAAAATATTCTACAAACACGTATACAATTCTAGTTTGGGTCGTGAGTAGTTTATAAACAGAAATGAAAAATAACAGAAAGGTAGAATTTAGAAAGAGGCTATTCTTAAAGTGAATTGCTATGACTGAAAGTGTTCTTTACTAGTCCTGATATGAAAGAGATGATAGTGATAGTATGGTCTTCGGATCAGAGACTGCATCTTTCTGAGTATTTGCAGCTCATCTTGTACAACCAGGCCACCAATCCTAATTGGTGCCGTTGGCTACTACTATAATAAAATCATAAATGACAATACTATTTCTTCAGTCAGCGTTGTAGGTAGGTTTCCTAAGGCTCAGGGACAATGCACTGTAGGACTCAACTTGTTTCAGGGGCCCTTAAAAATTCTTTTCTTGTAGGACTGTGATTCTTCATATTCTAACATTATTTATATCTGGCCAAAATATTGTAATATTATTTTTACTGGATTTTGAAAATCAACTTCTTGTATTATTACCCTACTACTATGAGTTCATAATAACAAGTTTGCTAAATGTAGAACTGTGTATCTGCCTATCATTTATTGCATGCAGGAAACAATGAGAGGAAAAAACCCATAAAATATGTTGACAACTTTATTTTGTTTTTTTCTGAAAAAAGGAGAAATATATAGAATAGGCACGATGAAAACTATTTAATCACGTTTTAAATCATTATCAAAACTGGTCATTAAATACTAATTCTAGTTATAGTTGAAAGAAATTTCAAGAACCTAACCCTGTCGTTATAAACCTTTGATTATCACAGAGCCTTTAAATTTAAGCAGCATTAATATGATTTAATTGTCTGTTTTTTTCTGACAAGGAACAAACTAGAATATTCGGCTCATAATTCTTTTTGCCATTTCAACTGCCTCTTAACATTTTTGAAATTCTAACAAAAAGAAGCTGCCAGCAAGACATTTATGACAATATTACAAAGTTTTTTTTAGTGTTTCAAAATTTCCCAACTGTAATAGTTTAAACTAAAACCTAACACCAACCATAACAGTAGCAATGGAATTGTTATGTCCTCATTGTTCCTACTCAAGCTACACTGAAGTGCAAGAGCTACTATGAGTCAATAGATGGCAGTCCACCTCTTAGAAAAGAGACATATAATGAATAAAATCATCAAAAGCGTCACAAAGAGACAAGAATTGAGTTCTGTTGTTTTTAACAAGCTTTCAGAGTGATTAATTAAGAATATTTTAAGAATGTATGTGCATTTAAACACAATTTTTATATGGACTTTTGGCAAAGCGGTATGATAGAAGTGATTTTAAAAGTTCACAAAAACATATTTGTATAAAATATAATTGTTGCTCTGCTTGGGTTGATGTCTATATATATTATGCACATTATCAGTTTACAATTTTCCCAAATTCAGTTTGAAACCAGTTGTTAATTTGCTATATATATATATATATATATATATATATATTGTTAAGGTGTGAAAAAACCTGAAGCTAACATTAGTACATATACCTGCAAAGATATGTGCATATTCTCCAAAAATAATAAATGCAAGTCTTTTTCTTCTCTTGCATTATTTGTTTAGAAATCAGTATTTATAACAAACTATGATGGAATTGTAAATTGATGACTGCAGTCACACAGTAGAATGCCTATATGAGAGCAAACAACTTCTACCTTTTAGTCATACTTATGTAAAAGAAATAGGCAACAAGTCTATTCTAACACGACAGTTTCAGCATCATCTGTGGATATTATTTGCTTCTGTTGCAGTTTAGATCTAGAGAGAATTCTTAAGTGAAAAAACAAAAGTTGACCCTGACATGTTTAAGTAGTTTAAATAATATAGATTCTCTTGAACTATAGCCTCTATTTTAAACGTCTGCGATGTCTGTTGTCAACTGAAGTTTTAAAAAAAGTATAATCTGATTATGCTTCAATTAATGTAGTTGTCAAAATTGATCTTCACATGAAAGATGCTATGTAAATACAAAATATCATCATAAATTAAAAACCTGGATAATTTATAGTACTAAATAGCAAAGGCATTTATAAGAAACAAGGCAGGGACTACATATTTAGTAATGAAATCGGAAATATTTATATGTATGTATATTTGATCATATTTCAAAATATTCTCTCACAAGCACAGCGTACCCCAAAGCACTATTTTTTCCAAATTAATTAATTTTTCCAATATGACATTTCCATGCATAGCTCCAAAAATTTCGAAGTAGATCTTCTGTTGGTGGATATTGTTAATTTCACACCATTGAAAGTATAAAGTCAAAATACTTTCCCTGAAAATTAATTGGCTACAATTCTTCAAGATGAAACAGCTCAGATTGCTTGTCAATGATTGCCAGGAAGAATCTGTTTTTAGCTTTTTAAAAAGTAAGAATTTTTTGTAGTGTTGATAATAACTCTTTTCTGAGTAATTGTTCAATGTCCAAAACAGGCCCGAACAACAAAATATGTTTTGACATATTAGCTGAAACCTAATTCACCATCACATTATTGCATAAATACATCTATGTGATTCTTAGATTCCAAGTTCCATAAGGGATCTAACAAACCATTTAAACACTTCCTTTTCTGGAGCATAAAGAATTATAAAGGATTGAATCTTTTCTTTTGAGTATCTTTAAATAAATAAAGCAAACAACCATATAAAGTGAATGCAACTAAACCTATTCTTATTACATCTTCTTTAATCTGGTAATTTAAGAGCAAAGAAAATATGCATATAGAAATGGAGATTTCCAAAGTGAATGTTTAAAAAAAAAAACCCTAAGCACAGGAGAGATTTTCAACAGAGTGTATCCTTTACTATTAAATTTAGCTGCTAAAACAGAAAAGAGAAAGTTCCAACATGTTGAAAAGGCACAAGGAACAGATTTTAAAGGACATCCTATAGCAGTATTCCCTTATTTGAAAGAAAAACCTCAAAACCACAGCACAACAAAAAGTACTGGACAAACTTTTCTGCTTTGTTTAATCGTACAAGGATGACAGTGGTTATAAAGTTATTTCAGTTAAACACACATTTTCCTTATGTTGAAAAGAAGTCATAGGCAAGGCCTAATTTTTTATACATAAATGTATGTGTGTGTGTGTGTGTATATATTTATTTTGTATTTAAGGTTTGTAGTGTAGATCAATTAGACATTATTCTAAACAAGTTAAATCTTGTTTTCAGACTGCACATTAGTTAATGTAGGTGCAGTTTGTTTAAATTTTCCCTGCGTTTTGCATACACGAAAAAAAATTAAAAACTGAATGATTTATTTGTAGTGTGCAGTAGTTATTTTTATAACTAAAGACCAACTAACCAGGTGCCAAAGAAGAAGTGGCAGTTGATTTCTTCTTTAAGAATCATGTACAAAGATTTTAAAGTTTATTTCTAAAATTCACATTCCATTCTCTAGGTAAGGTTCTTTAAATCAAAGTTAAAGAAACTGCCTTGTAATATATGGGGATTTGACAACCAAATCCGGGAAACAATGAGACAGGAATACTGTTATACCCCAGTATAAAATTAAACTTTCTTTTTGTAATGTATACAGTAAATGCAGTTATGGAGAGGAAAGTGATAGGATGCAGTCATTAAATTATGCTAGTAATACAATCAGAACTTCTAAGAATGTATAAAAAGGGACAGTGTATTATTGCATTCTCCAGTTCAAAAACTCTTCAGATGTTTATTATCTTCCTGAAGAAGATGCTTGTCTATATTTTATGGTCAGCAGTTCACAGAAGAGTAAATAGGTTGGGTGTACAAGAAAATAAAAAAGGTGTTTCTACTTACTGTTAGGTGATACTGCCTCCATATTTCTGGGCAAGCCTGGAAAATAAAAATATTGATCAGCTGGGAGCATGAAACAAGGTGCTTTACAGCCTGTTGGTTTTGGCATAACACAGTATCCACCGGTGTCGGTCACAGGAAAATAAGAAGCTTAACTGAAAGGGCCTGCATTTCAGCTTCAAAAACCTGGCTAGACAGTTTAATTGAATTTTACACTGGTTTAACACACTCCCTGCCATTGTCAGAAAGCCAGTAACAGTTTTCTCTCTCCCTTTCTTCTCTTAAGGTTAGAAGTTTTGGAGACTAACATGTTCTTAACTGTCATAACAAGTATTACTATAAAACAAACCCAAACACAGCACACTGAAATTCTGCATGTAGGGTATAGAATGTGTTTTGTAACATTTGAAACCTACATAATGTTTTGGAAATTAATTCAGCAGTTACTTTGCTTTAATACATAAGTGAACTTAAAATTATGTTGCTATTTTTGTACATGTCTGAATCCTAATCAAAATATAATTGTTACAAGTAATAATCCTCAGTAGCCTAATGTCAGATGAGATGTAAACAAGGAGCATAACAGATTGCTTTAATGCTTCTATTTTTACAATGGCTTGCTGTCTTCTGTTTTGATCTTTGCCCATCTTATTCACAAACTTCAAAGCATAGTCCATGGTAAAAACTATATATAAAGTAGATTTTCTATAACAGCAATTTAACAGTAGACTTGAAGAAAGCACAGAATGTGGTAGAGAGGAAATATGAAACTTTTTTCTTAAAAAACAAAATAAAAATGTATTGAGAATCAGTGAGACATGGCTGCTAAATATTTTCCTAATATTCCTTAATATTTTTACGAAATTTACAATGGCTTTTCTGATTCTGATTTTATACACATATCAGAGCCAGAAACAAATACCTATTGCTAATTTGACTGTTATACACGTCAAAACCAGGTGTGTGTTAGTTACATATACACACACAGCTGTATAACTATTATCTGTGCACCATCTTTAATTTTCTTTATAACGCCTCTATTTACTGTGGAAATAATCTCTCGGTCATTTGAACGATTTCTCATTTCGTTTGTAAATCTCAATTCTGAGTGTTTCCATCAGAAATCTTGGTTATTCCATGTTTTCCAGGCAGTATCATGTAGTTTTAACTTCCAACTCTCTAGTCCCCTTGTCTTGCAAATTTATATTAGTAACATTTCTTAAGTTTTTTGAAACAATCCTTTCTCCCATGCCTAATATACCTGCTTTCCTTTATTTTTACAGATAATGTACATTTAAAAATACAAATAAACAAAACGTAATGGAACTTCTAAAAAATAAAAGGTAATGCCGGTGGCCCTAACACATGCAACCAGACAGCACCACAGTAGGTTTTCTCCAGATGGGCTGAAAATTGTATTCTTTATTATATATTTTACTAATCCTGTAATTTTCTGGAGAAAAATGTATACTCTGTGCAGTGCAACCATTCCACACTTTCTGTCTTATTAAAATATTGCATGTAAATATTTGTATTTTATATTAATATTATTTTTGTAAAGAAACAGTAAGATGCATTACATTTCTGGGCATAGGGAAGCAATAAAACATGTGACAGTTTAAAAACACTCAAGCTGTCTTGGAATGCAAACAAAAGGATTTACCACCTCTCCTAAAATGGATACTAGTTTGGCACTTACACAGGATTAGCAAGGGTAGCAGGCAGTTATTTATACATTAGTTCTGGGTAGTTTTCGATTACCACAGTGTTCCCAGAATAATATGGTTGAAAAATCGCAATCAATGAGTTGTCATATACTGGCAAAATGCCACTCTGCTATATGACCTTTACTTACACAGCAGCTATTTAAATTAAAAAAATTACTTGGTTTTAGAATAATCATTTTGTGACTCTGGATATGAAGACACTATTTACTGTGGAAATTTGTTGCTAAGAAATAAGAAACTTATACCTCCTCCAAGTAGTAGTGCTTAATAAAACATTTAAAAGGCACAACCTTACCTTACTCAGCAACTCTAATAAGAGCTAGTTATTATTATTGCTCTTATCTATATGTGCGTTTTAAGGCAGTAGGGGAAAAAAAGGTAAAAATCTAAAGGAAAACTGAACTGGCAGATTTCTATATTCACATGGCAATTCAGTGTAACATTTTTCATAATCAAAATACAACTTCAGGTGGTTTATGCAATAGTCCAAAATGGATGACAGGCTAAAAATTGGCCATAGTATTAAAAAATAATAATACTCTTAACTTTGAGACTTACTCCCTTGCATCAACTCATAATTACTGTCTGTGCCTCTTCCTTATCACAGAATGACCAAATATATACATCATTAACAATGACTACAGAATACTGGCTTCTCAAATGAAGCAAAGTGACTTGTTATGGGAGAGAGCATAACCAAATACAACAATTGAACCTGTGATTTTTCTTATTTATTTAAAAGTATTTAATCATGAATAGCCTCATTTAAAGAAAGG